AAACAATCTATAGTGATTATTAAATAACATATTTTACTTTGAATTAATGAAAAAATTTGTTTTAGCAACGTTATTTGTCGTTGGCCAATTAAGTCTTGTTTACTTTTTATTTAAGCCAATTAATATAAAAAAATATTTTTTACAATTGGCCAACAATTATTAAAATGTTTGATAAAATGTAATTAATTTAAGTTACAAACCGTAACAGTATGTTAATTAAATAAAGCTACTGTCAATTTCTTAAGAATGCATTATATCTTAAAAACTATTTCTATAAATCAAAGTGTAGGCATATTTTTTATAACATTCATTCGATAATAACTTATTTCGGTCACTAAATTATAGTTGATTTTTATTCGGATGTATACGTGTACAATTCAAAAAAATATAATTTAAATATTGGCTAAAAACAATTTATGGCGATCGTGAATAAAATATTTACTTTTGAAATAATTTGTTTTAACAACGTTATTTGTCACTGGACAAAATNCGTTATTTGTCACTGGCCAAAAAAATCGGGAAAAAATTAGTATAAAAGATCTAGTAAACTAAAAATTCATTGGGACTTTTAGTCTAACCTGCGAACAAAGAACATATAAGCTCTTGTGGAAGCCATCTAGTCTATAAGTCTCAGTCGCGTCGAAATCAAATTTCAAAAATCTTGAAAACAACGCGACATTCGCAAGTCGAACATATTGACTATTTCCAAAAACAGCCGTTGAATTCACTTGCAATAATTATGGCACTGTTAGAGAGAGGAGATCGGATCGTCATAAGATATTATGACTACTTGCAAAATTTAACCGTTATCAAAGTAAATGACAAGAATCGTGAACAGCCCGAAGAGTATCGCGTTAAACTTCAAGGAATAAGTGGAGAATTTTTTGACACGTCCTCGATGAATATCCTTACCAATGTCATCAAAAAGAAAGAAATATTTAACATCGTAAGTGAAAAAAATATATGTGTACATAGCATAGATATTTATACTTATATTTTTAAAGGCACTCATTGATAAAAATGAACTCGTATTAACATATTCAACATCTAAAATATGTCTCAACACTCAGATTTGGAATGCTGAGAATTTGAATCCCAAAAATGTCGGCAATAAATATGAGGAGACTTATGCAAAGAAAAACTNGCAATAAATATGAGAAGACTTATGCAAAGAAGAACGCATATAAACCTGGACTTAAGCCGAACAATTACGCAACATATAATGCCAAACGTTATACGGCCCAAGATAGACTTATGAAATACCGTAAAACTGAGGAGACACAAATCGTTCATCAAACAAATAAATTCAAACAGCCTGAAAATAGACAACTGTACAACACCGATAATACACGTTATTCAGCTCAAGACCGACTTAAACAATACAAGAACATCGTTACTTCAAAAGAACCGCAGCTTAAACAATATGACATTAAGACCACAGATATGAACCGATTTGAAATTGAAGAAAAATGTTGCAAAGAACAAAATCTCAGCACTGACATAACAGAAGACCCATGTACTAAGAAACGTACATTAAAACTAGGCGAGACGCAAAAAGTTAGTTATTTATATTTATCATACAAACAATCTATTATTACAATAATCTTTCCACAGATAATGATAGTTCAAAAACGAACGAAGACATGTTATCTGGTACACACGATGGAGAGTAGAAAGTCGGTAATCACCTTGTGTGATAAACTACGCAAAATTGAAAATAACTTAAAACGTATCGAGAAAGTTGAGAAGTACGACATGCGCTTGATATTTTTTGGCGCTGAATTGTACCGTGGGAAAATTATGGACGAGACGAACGATGGTATGTTGAAAATGTACTTGATTGACACAGTNTGGTATGTTGAAAATTTACTTGATTGACACAGCACAAGTGATGTTCTTTAATCGAAAAGAAGTCTATGAGATGCCAAAGCATTTCGAAGGAGAGTCATTATTAATTGAAATCGTCGTAACACCTCCGCCAAATGAAATGCTGACTACTGTTTTTGCTAACGTAGAAGCAATAAAAACTATTGGACCGAGTACGGTGGTGAAACTGATTTAATAACTTGCTATATTGACTTATAACTCCTATTAATTTGCATTCGACAGTCAATGAATATTCCCTACGGAAGATTACGTGCTGACAATGATGTCTTTTTCCATTGAAAATACTCTTGTTTATTTATTATGAACTATTTTGCATTTTCATCCGACTTCTTTATTTATTGTTTATATATTTGTTATATTTATATGTTTGTTGTTACATTATTTAATTTTTCGTTTTTTTGCTATATTGTTAAATTTTTTTGTTCAATTTTCTGTTTAATTTAAATAAAGCTGTTCGACACTTATAAAACATTGCTATCATTTAATTTTAACTTAATTATTTTGTACATCAATTAGTTAATACAGTTTCAATTGTAAATTTGCCAAAAAATCAGAACATATCTGCACACACAACTTTTATTTATAATTTTTTCTATCTACTGGACTTTATACATTATACTTATTTATATAATCTATTAAAGTTAAACTTTAAGATTACTTAGTTAAATCTGGGAAAAAATTAGTGTTACCCATTAAGGCTACTATTGCAGGTTTTATACATCAGTTCTTTACTAGTGTTTTACAAGCAAAAGTGTTACAACAGGCAATACTGATCATAATGAATAATAGCTAGGCAAATGTTTAAGATCGGTATTAGCAAAGTATTATACCCGTTAATACTAGTATTTTAAGAAATTTATTTATTTTTTAAATAATCAATTATGAAATTTATAATAATAAATAAATATATACAATATTAATAAATTAATAATCATTAATAATATTATTAGTATTACTATTTGATAAGTAATTAATTATTTTAAACTACTCCAAGTTTATAACACTTTGACGTTGACGGTGAAAAAGTGGTTCTCTTAAATAAATACTTCGTAAAAAGAACTCGTATTCAATATCGTATGCATTTCGTTCATAGTAATTTTCTAACATTCGCTTTTCATCATCGTTTAATTCATTTTTAAATAAAATAGCTTGCACAAATAAATCGATTGTTGGGTCATTGTTAATGCTGAGAAAATCGCGCAATTTTGTAATACCACTTAGTTCAATATTACCTACATATCTACGAATATCACTAATAAGTATATCATTGAGTTGGTAATTAATTGGTAGATAATAATATATTGACATAAGTTCTTTCGAAGAAATAGAGGAATTTATAACACGATCGGGTATCTCACGAACATGATTCTCAGTTGGAAGGTTGTACAGATTTTCGGGTAGAAGTGTGTAAGGAATTTCTTCCGGATGAAGTTCAAAATAACGTTTGGAGAATACTTCACTTTCATTTGATGTAACTAGAATATTGACAAAATATAAGAAAATTAAAATACTACTTAAGTTTTAAAATAAGTATTTATTGTCACTTTAGAATAAAACGATTCTGTTGCAACATTTTCAGTAAATCAAGTTTTCCATTAGTATTTATTACCATATGAAATATATATAAAAAAATAATTATTTTCCATAAGCTTATAGGTCAAAATTAATAATTCTTCAGACAATTGATAAATTAAAATTTTTTCGTTTAAATAAACCTTTTTGATAGCCTAATACAAAACTTCCCTCCTCTTCTTCTTCTTTTTCCTTGCTCGAATAACACACTCTACCTTCTTTTAGTCTTCCTCTACCTCTTCTCCCTTCAATATTAATTTCTATAACTATTCTCTATGATTGTGTATTAATAAACTAATATTCCTTAATACTTCAAAAGATTTGCAATTTCATTACAGTCATTGTAGCTATAAGAATAACACAAAAACTTAAAATATTCTAATTTAAATTATCGAAAATACGGAAGATGTACCTAATCCGATCAAATGACAATGACAGTTCTGCATTGTGGACACGAAGAAATACCAATTTTAAAACTGTTAGCGCAAAAATTACCAATCACATGATTGCAAGGCTTTATTGTTACCGTGTTTTCTTCATCATAACATATTGTACATTCATCTAAAAAAATAGACAAATACAACTTATAAGTTGTACAGATATTCAGATTAAAAATATTTGAAATCATCAAAAAATAATTAAATTTTAGTAATTTATCATGAAATTCCACTTAAGAAACAATTATTGTATTATCTTAATAAGTTAGTATTCAATAATTAATATAAATAAAATTATTATAAAAAATGTTAACTATTGTTTTAAAATGATAATATATTAGACTAAATTTAAACTTAAAAATTTATAAACTAAACAATTCTTTAGATTATTTTTTTATTGTTAAAACAGTTATTTGCTATTAGATAATTTATTTTTATTAATAATATCTACACCTAAATGTGACCTCTTACCCTTTTCTCTTAGAAAAAAAAGTAAATCTAATTAATTCAATATTAACGGCATAGGTGATATTTAAATGAAACAAAAATTATAACTTTGGTTACTATTATAATTTATTTTGTAAATGAAAATATTACATAGTTATTTTGTAAGAAGTTTGTATATAATATAAAACTTCATAGTCTATTTTAAAGACTAAAAATAAGCATTGTCCTTATAGATTTCCTTAATAATTTAAAAATCACTTGAAATTTTAACTTTGTAAAAATTAAAAACCATTCAACTTCTTTTTAAGTGAATTTATTTTTATGAAATTTTTTTACTAGGCTTGCATATAGACGTTGAAAATAGTAATACTAATTTGCAGAAACAAATAACTTTTAATTGCATAAATGAGAACCACTAATAAATATAATAAATAATTTTATTTTAAAATAATTTTGTGAAAAATATAAAAGAAATGTACGCGTCACTTTATTTCACTTAATAGATTTTATTTATTAGAAAATAACTAATTAGCCACACAATTAATTTAATTTGGTTATAGAAAATTAGTAAAGTAAATAACAAAAGAGGTATTAGCAAAATTTACGATTTTACAAATTATACCATTTAATGATTGAAAAAATGTACAACGTTGATTATTTTAATAATAGGCGTACTTATAAATTTGAAAATTAAACATAATTATTATTTCGTATTAAAAAGTATTTTATATATTTTATAATTGTATAGATGATTTAACATATTACTGCATAACATAGAATATGAAAATTTAGTAAAATATTAGAATAAAAAAAAATTATTTTCGTGTTATTTTATGTTAATATTTTATCATTTAGAATAAAGCAAAGACTATTTTCACGCATGATAAATAAATACGTGATAAATAAATTCCCTAATTATTTTTATGAAAAAAAAAATTATGTTGAATAAGCAAGCCTTGTGAAACATTTGTATAAAAGTAGGAAAATTGCTGTATTTTCAATGAGTTGTTTGGCGATTACATACATGACAATATTCTATAAAACATTTTTCTTTGGAACCTAAAAAAATATAACTTAGAAATAAGTAATAAATTATATTAACTTTACCTATTTAATTATGTGATAATTTATAGAATTAAAAAATTCATAAAAAAGAAATAGGTTGGGTAGAAAAAACATATCAAAAAATATAAAAAACAATTTAAACAGAAATTAGGAAAGCCATGTCTCCAAATTATTATAAAATTAAAATTTTATATTAAAAGTTTATTTAATTTATAGTATATATTAAAATTAATTAAATATTCTATAATAAATTTGTTCTAACAAATCTCATCAACATAAAATCATTTTAAAAATGTTCTTAAAATATGATTACCTGTTTTTTTGCGTTCTTTTGAACATTTACAATGTAAACATGATAAATTGCAATCTTTAAGATAATTATAACATGGGAGACATAATCTTCTTTTACAACATTTTGATATATACATTACTTTATGATTAGGAATTTTTTGGCATCTATAACAAACTAATTTACAACAATTAATTGTCATTATGTTTGAACTGTAATTTAAATGGTTTTATACACTAATAAATAGGCTCGTATTTAAGAGGTGTTGTACACGGGCAATTTTCCCGATGGCATTATTTAGACGAACAATATTAAAAACTATCATGAATGAAACTTTCTTCATTATGTATAATGAAGTATAAAAATTACAAAAATTATAGAATTATATTAAAATAATTGTAATATTTAATAATGATAAGATTGTTAGTATTGCTATTCGTATTAATTGTTTTTTTGTGTTTTAAATTATATTTGTTTTTAACAGAGTTAATACTTATATTTCATATCGTTAGTTTTAATTTTGTGCAAAATATAGTATAATAAGAAAAACTATGTACTCTCGTAAGAAATTTATTTTATGGAAGCAAAAAAGATTAGATACATCGAAGGAAATTTGTAGTGCAGACGCCAGAAAATATCGAAAGTGTATCGAAAAACATTTGAAAAGAAGAGGCAATGTACGGAACTAGATCTAGCGCACCCAAAACGGCATAGAGACTAACCTTATCACTAGGTCACCATACAATTAAATTACAAATGTCGATACAATTCCATTGATAACTTGTTGTAAAGTTAAAGAACACGCGGTGCCGTGTAAATATAAGCTATTATCAAATTTAGATAATCATCAAAATATTTTAGTTTATAATTTCTAGTAATAATAAAAAAAAAATAACTTAAATTTCTATAAAATTTTAAATTTTTAATGTCCTCACTTTTATTATTACTGCATTCAACACACTTCTCGAAATGATGCTTTGTTACTTCAGGAGAGATACAATTTGAGCACACGTAACATTTTATACATTGAAAACTCGTCAGTTTCTCAACATCAAAAGTATTAAAACATATGCCGCAAACTGAAAAAAATAACATATGTATTAAAAATTAACATTTGTTTAATAGCTTCGAATAACGAACATATTTATGTTAATGGTGTCAAGTTTAACTATTTCATTTTAAGGAGAGGAAAAATGCTTACTAATAAATTCATAGAAAGCATTGTATATAAAAAAAAAAATTTAAGAAAAACCCAGCACAGGGGGGTCGCGGCACAGTGGTGACGTGGCATAGTTGGATCAAGTATAATGATATCTGACAGTGATTAAAATCACTATAAAAAAAAAACGCTTCGATGCAAATCTTAGATAGTGTTTAATTTTAAAAAAATTGTGGATTATTCCAAAAGCTTCATAAACTGCTAGTTCCTTATTAATATCCTGATTAAGACAAAGTATGTAGAATAAAAAAGAGATTATTAGAAAATAGTATTTCCCATAAAAAAATTATATTGATCAATACACTTTTCAATAAGTTATAGCATTATAATGTTAAAAATGTAAAAAAAAAAATTGAGAATTTTCACACAATAATAGCATTTGGTAGCCATTTTCACCTTGAAGATAAAATAAAGTCCGAAATTTTTTTTTTCCATGATAAAGTATATTACATTAGCTTTAATTTAAGATATATATAAAAGTGTCAGACCTTCCGGAACACTTTCAAAAGTTACGTTGAAAAAGTTCTACTTTCTATATGCATTTTTATGTTTTGAATCCCCCCTGTATTTAGGGAAATGGTCCGATTTAAAAAAACAGTATGTCGAATGAAAGATCTATATAAATACTACTTCTCATAAAAAAATTGTAATGATTCATACATTTTACAAAAAGTTATAGCATAATAAAATTAAAAATGGAAAATACAAAATCGAAAATTTTCACACAAAAATAGCATTCGGTAGCCATTTTCACCATGAAGATAAGATAAAGTCCGAAATTT